ACACCCTATAGCAAAAACCTCTCAAAAAAAAAAAAAAGTGAAGACAACTCTCAAAACTGGATGCTTTATATTTTAAGTATTACCTAGTCCTTGTATGTTAGTTTCTAGAATCATATTTTGCAGGTGTGTGCACAAGTTTGTGTATATGTTTAAAATTCACGGGAACCAGCAGTTAGCGTAATGGCTATGTCGCTGGATTCCCACGTAGTCGACTGAGGTTCACCTCCTGAACCCGGTGGCTTAAAACTCACGCCGGGCATGTGTGCGTGTGTGCCCAAGATTCCGAGAGGAGAAAGGAGGAAAAGGGATTGTGGTGTGACCATCCCCCCTGGGGGGGTGATTTCTCGCTTTCTGTCTCTATGTCTCTCTCTGTCTGTCTGGCAAGCACACGTTCCCTATAGCAAAAAAACCTCTCCAAAAAAAAAAAATTCACAACACATTATAGGCACTTCTCAGTTAATGACCAAGTTCCTTTCCTACTACTAGGTCATTAAGCAAATTGGTTGATAAATGAGGAGCTTAAAGGCAGATGTCTTGTGGTATATCATGATGCCATAGGGTATGCATTTTTCATTACTTTTTCTTTCTTTCTTTCTTTCTCTCTCTCTTTCTCTCTTTTTTACAAAGAGAACAGTGCTACTTTATTTAAAATACTGTTTATTTCACATTTATATTTTTGTCTCTCTACCATTGCCATGTCTGACCACCACTACTCCTGTGTTCTATCATAACACTCCATAATACTTAAAACCAAGCAAAGGGTGGAGTTCTATCTTTAAAAACTAAACAGGCATTTTGGACAACACATTCTTGCTAATGGAACCTGGACAACATTTATCAAACACAGTAGGGTTTTCTCACTCTGCATTATAAAAAGAACAGCTAGGAGGTCAGCAGGTGGTGTGGTGGTAAAAGGTGCTTGATTCCCACATGGCCAACCACTGTTCAAGTCCCGGACCCAATGGCTTGAAAATCATACTGGGCACCTATATGTGCATGCTTGCCCAAAATCCCTACGGAGAACAGAGGAGAAGGGATTGTGGCATGGCCATCCCCCCAGGGGGTGATTTCTCGCTTTCCCTGTCTCTTTCTCTGGCAACACATGTGCCTTATGACAAAAACTTTAAAAAATGAAGACAACTAGATATCAACTGTAAGTGAAATGAGATAATACAGAACATTTTAACAAATTGTTTAAACTGTTTTCTTAAAGAGACTTCCTCCATTGCCAAAGATCATGGTCAGTCAGTTATCAATTCTTCACATAGTTGATGAACTTGGCTTATACTTTGGGAAGAGAGCCACCTTTTTCTATACTTGCTTGCATTTTTACTTTAATGTCTTCTACAAAACTAGGTCCTTTTGGTGTTTTAGTTTTTCTCCTGTTTTTGCACTGATTCTTGACCTTTTAACCTTGGTGTTGATGATTCTGGGTCTTTTCCATTCTGGCTTGATTTTTTACATTTTTACCATGACTATCTCATATAGATTTCTTCACCGAAGCTTTTTCTTCTGTTTCCTCATCTTCAGAGTCATCATCCTTATCTTCAGCTGCAGCAAGTTTTACTTTTTTCTGTGGAACCTTGCTACCACCTCCAGGGGCAGATTTCTTTCCAGATGTATTTAAAGAGTTTCATGTCCTCTTCCTCTTCTGACTCTGTATCTTCATCCACAGCTCCTATGTGCTGTCCACTAATATGCACAAGCCCTGAACCACACTTCAACCTTAAAACTATAAGTAGTGTTATTTCAAAGTCCTTAAGGGAATCTGTTTACTATACAGACATTTTCAATGTTGCCAGTGTTATATTAATTGTACTTCCTTCATTATTCATTGCCTCTGCTTCAACAATGTACAATTCACCCTTTGTACTAGCCCCTAAACTGACCATTCTTAAAGATAACTGATGTTCATTTTCATCATTGTCCACTTTAACGTGATAGTCTTTGTTGACCTTTAGTTCACAACTGAAAAAATGACTCTGGGGATTCAGGGAGCTCATGTCCATGTCCATCGAATCTTCCGTGAGTGGTGGCATGCACTTAGATGAGAGAGAAGGCAGAGAGAGATAAATGACTAAGCTCCTGAGAACAGCGGTGCAGTATGGAATCACTCTAGGGTATATGTATTTTTCAATAGCTATCACTTGACCCCACCCTAGAATAATGTAATTCTAAAAAGTATATGTTAGATAAGCACTAGAAAGTTATAGGACATGCCACATCATAATAATATAAATCTTGTGATCATTTTTATTCATTCTGAATACCACTATGAGTGCATAGTAAAATATAGATTTATAAACAAAATATGTAGTCTTGTGTGATTGCAAATGCTTTTTGTATTGAATACTGACCAACTGTGGGAAAGAGAGAAAGAATGAGAAAGGGGATTCCCAGTGCCGGAGAACTGATCATAAGTCCAAGTGGTCATTAAACAGGTAGGTCATTAAGTTAGGAGTGACTGTATTAACTGAATTCAATATATGACTCACAGATATTTATTTCTTCACTTTTACCTAATTACTTCTCTGATTTCCTAGAAAGTAAAATTAGATCTAATAAAATTGATTTTTGCTTATAAGTGATTTTAGATTGCTTGGTTCTCATATCCTTCCAGGAATCTGTTTTGAACTGATCAGCATGCATCAAGAAAAATCCTACCACTCCTATCTCCCCTTAAACCATGTATAGAATATAGAGGTGTTTTTTATTTTGGAATTTTTCTTTTTTGATATTTCAATTTAATAATTAGAAGATTTTCATGATGTGACTAGGTCTTGGTGTTACAAATGCATGCTATAGACTCTGGACAATTTAAAAGTAATCTGGCTTTCTAGTGTACTTTTCATTTTTCTGTTAAACTGGAATGCTAAGGTCAAATGTGGCTTCCTTAATTTCTTTTCTCCCTTTTAGTTTTTTTCTGTGATCTTCATTCTTAGATCTTTTTTTTTTTCTTTATTGCCAGAGGATGTGTGTACTCATGCCCTTGTGTGCACAAAAGAGAGAGAACCCCCTGATGGGTTGTGGTCATGCTGCAATCCCTTTTTCCTCCTTCTCATTAGGAATTGGGACACACATGCACACATGCCTGGCATGTTTTTCAAGCTCTGGGGCCAGGACTTGAGCTGCAGTCAGCCATGTGAGATCTGGCTCCCAATGCACAGCGTGTAACTGCTGCACTGCAAGGCTGGTTTCCTACTAGGTATTTTTTACAAGTAGCCCTTTTGGTAAGTCTAAAGACATATATAAGGGCAGGTATACTAAAATGTCACCATAATTAGGTGCAATGGGGCTTTTACTCTTTTGAAGCTAACCAACAAGTCACTGGGTGGTGACAACAGAGTCAATATTGAATTTCTCCTTTGGGGGCTGGTCCTGTAGCTCAGTGATTATGCACTGTGCATTGGGAGCCTGATGCTATGTGGCTGACTGCTGTTTGAATCCTGGCCCTGTTGACATGAAGACCACACCAGGTATGTGTGCATTTGTGCACAAAATCCTGATGGGAAAGAGAAAGGGAGGGAAAAGGATTGTGACATGATCATATCCCATTGTGGAGTCTCTCTCTCTGTAGTGCATATGGCCTCTGGCAATTAAAAAAAAAAGTCCACCCCCTTGAATTTGGAATATATGTAAGGTATTAGTGGTGAGACTGCTTCAGACTTTCAAAGGGTTAGTAGATGGAAGTAAGAGAGGAAAATAAAAGGACAAAAAATTATGAAAGTAGGAAGCAGAGATGTTTTTCTTTTCTTTTCATTTTTTTTAATTGCCTGAGGGTACTTGTGCTCACCAGAGAGAGAGGGGGAGAGAAAGTATCCCCCTGTGGGTTGTGGTTGTGCTGCAATTACTTCTTCATCCTGTCAGAATTCTGGGGACACAAGCATACACGCCCATTGTATTTTTCAATTCACTGGGGCCCAAATTCAAACCATGGCTGGCCATGTGAGATCAGGCTCCCAATGCACAGAGCCTAACCACTGTGCTATGGGGCTGGCCCTATTTATTTATTTATTTATTTTGAGAGGCTTTTTGCTGTAGGGCGCGTGCGCTCGCCAGAAAGACAGAGAGAGACAGAGTGACAGAAAGCGAGAAATCACCCCCCAGGGGTGATGGCCACGCTGCAATCCCTTCTCCATTCTCCTCTCAGAATCTTGGGCATGCATGCACATGCGCCCGGCATGAGTTTAAGCCACCGGGTCTGGGACGGGAACCGCGGTCAATTACATGGGAGTTCAGCGACATAGCCATTACGCTAACTGCTGGTCCCGGGCTGGCCCTATTTATTTACCTTTAAATGACAAATAATAATTGCATGTACACTTTTAAAATAGGAATATTTGGGCCAAATAATTTTCTTTATAGTTTATATTAGAAGTTAGGAGGCCAGACAATGGTAGTATTACACTGTAGTATTCAGTAATAAACAGGATATTCTGTAAGAGGCTGACCTCACAGGTATACTAAATGGCATACTAAAATGTCATCATAATTAGGTGCAATGAAGCTTTTATTCTTTTGAAGCTAACTAAAAAGTCACTGAGTGGTGACAATAGAGTCAATATTGAATTTTTCTTGAACTTGAGAAAGTTCAGAGATCTTTCCAGGTATGCCATAATCTAGGGCTGTCACAGGCTGAGGGGTAAATCGTGGTGTCAAGACCCTGTTGGGGGTGTTGTCTTTCTGTCTCTCTCACTCATGGAAGAAATAAATTAACTTCTTTAAAAAGTTAGAGTGCTGGCTCCATGGTATAGCAATAAAGCACTGCTTAAGGGAAGCCAGATCCCACATGGCCACCAGTTTGAATCCTCAGCCTGGTTAGCCTGAAACATACCAGGCATGCACACAGGGTGCCCAGGACCCAATGGGCTAGCAGACTGGGAGAGGGGATCATGGCATGACCTGACCCTGTGAAGGATGCTTCTCTCTCTCTCTCTCTCTACCCCCTCTCTCTCTTGCACACATATGCACATTGTCTATTTCTCATGTTCTGTCTCTCTGTCTCTCGCTGTCTTTCTGGCGAGCGCACGCGCCCTATAGCAAAAACCTCTCCAAAAAGAAAAAAAAAGAGGTGCTAGATTCCCACAAAGCTGACCGTGGTTTGAGTCTTGGACCTGGTGGCTTGAAAATCATGCTGAGAGCATGTATATCCAAAATATCAGGAGGAGAATGGAAAAGGGACTGCATTATGGCTGTTCCCCCTGGGGGCGGGGGGTGATTTCTTATTTTTCCTCTCATTGTCTTTCTCTGCTGAGTATACATACCCTATGGAAAAAACCTTAAAAAAAAGTTAAAGGTGCATTTTTTTTTAGAGAGTTTTTTGCTATAGGGCACATGTGCTCGCCCGAAAGACAGTGACAGAGAGACAGAGAGCGAGAAATCACCCCCCAGGGAAGACGGCCATGCCGCAATCCCTTCTCCTCCAGTTTCCTCTCGGGATTCTGAATACGCGCACACACACGCATACATGAGTTTCACGCCTCCGGGTCCGGGACTCAAACCTGGTTGACTACATGGGAGTCCAGCAACAAAGCCATTACACTAACTGCTGGTGCATTTTTGTGTTAACACTATTTTTAAATGATAATAAGAGATTAAATATTACATACTATTTATTTTTATTGTCTAGTGAGATTTTTAGGTCTGAAAATGAATAATAGAAAAGGAACAATCAAGATGTTGAAATGTAGTTTGTCTGCTTTCCAGGGAATGCTGTAAGTGCACGGATATTGAAGTGCATGATTCCAACAACTCTAATATCAGAAGATTCTGTGGTTAAGGCAGTCTCCTGGCTTTGTGTTGGCAAGTGTTCTGGTAGCACCAAGGTAATCTTTTTAAACACTTTGATGATAAGTCCTTCAGAACCACTTAAGGGTTGGCAAGGACGAACCACTTATGGCGTAATGGCATTGGCCTTTTGTGCAAAGCCTGTAGTTTTGGAACAATATAGCTTGATGCAAGGACTCTGTTCAAACAGAAATTTTTACTGAGAAATAAAATCTATTATCCTACTTGGTGCTAGAAGCTTCTAAAACAGCCCTGAGGGTGGAATTAAGCTCTTCTGTGCCTGTTATATTTTTCTAAAGATAAGCATTTTGTTTCTCGGTAGGTACTTTTTTATCGTTGGCTGGTTGCAATGTTTGACTTCATTGATCATAAGGAGCAAATTAACTTGCTCTATGGCTTCTTTTTTGCTTCATTACAAGATGATACACTGGTAAGTAAAAATTGGACAGCATCAAGCATCCATCAAATAGAACATGTGTTTATATTGATATACCATGTGTGCTCTAAGGCATCAGTGATATATATTTTTTTCACTTAAAAATATGTAAAACATCTGGGGAAGTACAAAAATTAACATAGCTAGCAAACATCCTTTCACCTGTCTCTCTGATTAACAAATGTAAAATTTTTACTGTTTTTGCTTTATATATTTTTAAATTTAATTTTGCCAGTGGGCATGTGCACTCAATGGAGAGAGAGAGAGAAGAATAGGGAAAGTAAGAAAGCACCCTCCATGGGGGATGGTCCTGTCACAGCCCCTTCATTTCTCTCTTTTGTTGGGATTTTGGGCATGCATGTGCACCTGGTGTGTGTTCCAAGTTGTTGGATCCAGGACTTGAACTGTGCAATTGGCCATGTGGCGTCCAGCTACCTTTATCATTATGCCACTGGCTGGCCCTATATTCTTTTTGAGGAAGTAAAAATGTTACAGATAGTTATAGTACTCCACATTGGACTCTCTTTGCTGATCTGGAGCAGCAATTGCCATCTTTTCCCTTTTAAGTCACTTGAACAGAGTCCTGTGTGTCACTCACTCTACATTTTCTTGATTAATATGGCAAAAACTTCATCAGAGTTAATGAGAAGAGGATTACTTTTCATGTGTTGCCAATGTACTGATTTTTATTAAATGGCATAATATTCCCATTAAAAACATTGATAACTGAGAAATCAATCTACTGTGTACCTGGAAGACTTTCAAGGACCCATCAGTAGTTCACAGACCATATGAACCACTCAGTTAACTGTGAAGAGAATTCATTCATTGCTTTTTTTTTTCCTACTGTGTTTATTATACTGTACTAGGCTCTGTATAAGATTTGAAGTTTGTTACAGAGTATCTGTACTTCAGGAATTTAAAATCTACTTGGAGAGGGACCAGCAGTTAGCGTAATGGCTATGTTGCTGAATTCCCATGTAGTTGACCGTGGTTCGAGTCCCAGACCCGGTGGCTTAAACTCACTCCTGGTGCATTTGCATGTATGCCAAAATCCCAAGAGGAGAATGGAGGAGAAGGGATTGCGGCGTGGCCATCCACCCTGGGGGGTGATTTCTCGCTTTCTGTCTCTCTGTCTCTGTCTTTCTGGTGAGCACATGAATCCTATAGCAAAAACCTCTTTAAAAAAAAAATCTAGTTGGAGAATTGAGGGAGGCACTTAAAGTTAAATAATAACTCAGATTATCAAAGTTAAATTATCAAAGATGGTATATGATAGAATGAGGATAATAATGGCTATAATATTTCTAGGAAGGAGGAGAACAGTATAAATCAGAGTGATTAAGAAAAACTATCATACAGTATGTGGGGATAGATCTGAGTCCTGAAGGTTGAATAGGATTTAAGACTTGATGAGAGGAGATGATGGATGTTAAGATTGGGAATATTTCATCTTTTTTGGGGGGGGGAGAGGTTTTTTTTGCTATAGGGTGCGTGCACTCGCCAGACAGACAGAGAGAGACATTCTCCTCTCGGAATCTTGGGCACACACGCACACGCGCCGGGCGTGAGTTTTAAGCCACCGGGTCCGGGATGCGAACTGCGGTCAACTACATGGGAGTCCAGCGACATAGCCATTACGCTAACTACTGGTTCCCAAGATTGGGAATATTTCAAGCAAAGTTACAAGATGTGTATTGTGTTTTAGGAGACCTTGAATAGGCCAGCCTGACTTAATTAGAGTTGATGTGGGGCAGGTAGTTGGTGATAAGACTGAAAAATTGCATGAGGACATTTTATAGAAGTCTTTTAACACAATGCTAAGGAATTAGAAATGTATTCTTTCTTTATTGGGAAATTAGTGAAGATTCTTGGAAGAATATGTTGAGAGCAGATTTATAGGAAGCTGTATTTAGTAGTGCCAACTGGTATGAATTAGAAGAGTGGCTAGGGACAAGAAGACTACTTAGGAGGCTGACATAATCTAGGTATAACATGATAAAATCCTAGACTAGACGTTTTCAAATACAGTCTGTGGACGCCTGGGGCTTCCTGAGACTTTTTCAGGAGGTCTGAGAAGCCAAAATAATTTTCATAATAAAACCAAGATATTTGCTGTTTTCACTGTGTTAACATTGTCCCTTTTGGTGCTAAAGTAGTGGCAAAACTGCTGGCTTTTTAGCATGAAACAGGGTAGTGACACCAAATTACTAACAGTCATTGTATTTTTCACTATAATTTTAAAAAGTGCTTGTTTCACTTTAAAATATCCTAAATGTAGGCATAAAATTAATCGTTTTTTTTTTTTTTTTTGCTATAGGGCGCGTGCGCTCGCCAGACAGACAGAGAGAGACATAGAGACAGAAAGCGAGAAATCACCCCCCAGGGGGGATGGTCACGCCGCAATCCCTTCTCTTCCATTCTCCTCTCAGGATCTTGGGCACGCACGCACACGTGCCCGGCGTGAGTTTTAAGCCACCGGGTCTGGGACACGAACCACCATAGTTGACTATGTGGGAGTCCAGCAACATAGCCATTACGCTAACTGCTGGTTCCCAATGAATCAGTTTTAATAAATCTCAACTATTGAGACATGTCTTTAATATTCTGTTTGATGAAATGAGAAGGATAAACAAAGCCTGTCTACATACCAAAGTTCAATGGTTGCTATGAGGAAAAGCACTTGTGTGATTGAGTTGTGAATTAGACTAGATGTTTTGTTCATGGATCACCATTTTTAAAAACTTAATTTGCTTGTTTTAGTTTGCTATAGAGTGTGTGTACTTGGCTGGAGAGAGAGAGAGAGAGAGAGAGAGAGAGAGAAAGGGAAAGTGAGAAATCCCCCCTAGAGGATGTGGTCATGCTATAATCCCTTCTCCTCCATTCTCCTCTTGGGATTTTGGGCTCACAGGCACACACTTCCAATGTAATTTTCAGGCCACTGGTTTTGGGACTCAAACCACAAAGTCAGCCATGTGGGATCCAGTGCCTTAAGCTCCATACCACCTGCTGGTCCTGGAACACTATTTTTATTTGAAAGAATGACATACAAATTACAGTTATTCAGATGTGGGTATTCAAAAGACTTTTTTTTGAAAATTGACAAAGCAAGCCATTTCAGAGAAAACAACTGATAGTATTTGTTGCCAGTGATAAAATTTGGGCTTTCATTAAAAAATTCCAAGTTTGGGAAATTCTTATTTATGTGCTATTGTGACAGCTTCCTGGTATTTACAGATTTTTTTTTTGATGGGATTGATGGCAATATTAATGATGTAATTTATAGATATTATATAATGAAATGTGTCAATATTTAGGAGCTTGGGATAACTCAGTGAACCAGTATTTTCCAAGTGATGAAGCATGATGTTACAAAATCATGCCTGGGTGAAAGATTTTTTTTTTTGAGAGAGAGATTTTTGCTATAGGGCACGTGCACTTGTTGTAAAGACAGAGACATACAGACAGAAAGTGAGAAATCATCCCCCAGAAGGGATGGTCATGCTGCAGTCCTTCTCCATCCTCCTCTCAGATTTTGGGCATGCACACACACAGTGTGAATGTTAAGTCGCCAGGTCCAGGCCTCAAATCATGGTTGACTACACGGGAATCAAGCTACGTAACCATTACGCCATCTGCAGATTCCTGTTGTTTTTTAAAGCCATCTGTGTTGGGAGATTCAAACCACAGCCAACCATGTGGCATCAAACTGCCTTAACTACTAGGCTGTAGGGCTGGCCCCTTACATCAATATTCTTTTTTTTTTTTTTTTTTTTTAGAGAGATTTTCACTGTAGGGCGCGTGCGCTCGCCAGACAGACAGAGAGAGACATAGAGACAGAAAGCGAGAAATCACCCCCCAGGGGGGATGGTCACGCCGCAATCCCTTCTCTCGGGATCTTGGGCACGCACGCACACGCACCTGGCGTGAGTTTTAAGCCACCGGGTCCGGGACGTGAACCGCGGTCGACTACGTGGGAGTCCAGCGACATAGCCATTACGCTAACTGCTGGTTCCCACATCAATATTCTTTTTTAAAGAAATTTTCCGGAGGATACATAAGCTCGTTGGAGAGAGACAGAGAAAGTGAGAAATCACCCCCTTTCTCCCCTGTGGGGAATGGTCATGTCACAATCCTCTCTTTTCCTTTCCCTCCTTTTGTACTACCTTCTAATCCCTCAGTTTTTGCCTTTTTGGATTTTGAGCATGTGTGCTACCTTCTAATCCCTCAGTTTCTGCCATAGCGTGCAGACATTCAATATATATTGATGGGTATACATGCTTCTCTTTCATAGTCTGGGTTGCTTTGCTCAGCATGAAATCTTCCATAATTGTTCACTTTGTATCAAATGTCAAGGTCTCATTTTTTTTTTTACACGACTCAGTAGTATTTCATATGATATATGTGTCACATTTTTTTTTTAATCCATTCATCTGTTCTTGGTCATTTGGGTTGATTCCATGTCTTAGCAGTTGTGAATAATCCTGCAATAAACATGGCCGTGCAAGCGTTTTGCCAACTGAGGGTTTTCCTATCCTTTGGATAGATAGCCAGGAGTGGAATTACTGGTTCATCTGGTAGTTCTATTTGTAGGTTTATGAGGAACCTCTGCATTGTTCTGCACAATTGGCTCTACTAATTTATAATGTTTCCACCAACGATATTGGAGAGTTCCCTTTTCACTGCAGCCTCTCTAGCACTTATTGTTATTTTTTTTAATCTTAACCATTCTGACTGGAGTTAAGTAGTATCTCATTGTGGTTTTGATTTGCATTTCCCTTATGATAAAGAGCTGTTGAGCATTTTTTCATATGCTTTTTGGTTGTTCGTATGTCTTCCTTAGAGAGTTGTCTGTTTAGTTCGTTTGTCCATCTTTTAATTGGATTGATTATTTGGGGGGAAGGGTAAGCTGCTTGAGTTCCCTGTATATTCTGGTTGTCAGTACCTTATCTGAGATATAGTTTGAAAGTATATTATCTCATTCTGAGTATTGT